GCATTTGACGCGCGACGAAGCACACTCTTTCCCTAAAATTATAACTTTACCTCGACTGATAAGAAGGCACCAGTCAGTACCGTACCTGGTACCAGACCTGAGACCAGAGGATCTCTGGAGGATCCAGATACAGATTACTAATTGAAACAAATTATATGTAAGGCAACTAATGCTGTTAACCCATAATACTGGTCTGTATTAAAACCTTTCAGAGCTGCAATAATACTATAAACTTAAAAACTACTATAATGTTTAGTTACAACTGAATCTATGGCACCATGTTGCCCCGCCATTTGTTGCTTACAAACACCGAGCAGCAACGAAAAACGTGGATTAGAAGTTTTGACGTTCTGTGTTGATTTAAAGGATTCAATAAAGTGGTTATTGGCGTTCACTACTAACAGTGACTGCAGCAAAGTACATAACTTCCTCATCATCATCATCAGGTGCCTTGCCGACTGGCGTGGACCATCATGCCTCTCCACAATCTGCGATCTCCTGCAGCATGTATCAGTTCGTGTGCTGACACCTAAATACCATGCAACAAGACTGTCAAGAATCTTTTCTCGTGTCTTCCTCCATCCCTCCATCCACAGATCTTTCCAGTGGTCACATGTTCCATTTTCCCTCTTCTCATAACATGGGCGAAAAATTACGACGGTCTCCTTCTGATGTCTGTGATAAGTTGTCTTTGGACTTCCGCCTCTTTCAAAACCTCTTGATTGCTCTTTTTTGTCTGTCCAAGGTAGCATGGGCCACATCCGGCTTTAACTTTATAAAATTTAAATCTAAAGATGGCCGTGCATGGGCATACACAGAGCAAAGAATGGGGAACACAATACAAGAGGACAGCGGAGCTTACCAGGCAACTACGTCAAGCATGACCATTGAGATAGAGCACTAGCAAGGGTATAAGAGCAAACAGCCACACAGGCACTCTATCAGACTCTACAAACATGCTTCTGAAGATAGCAAGCAATGCACCAACGCATGTGGGAAGAAGCACGGACAGAGCAGATATCGTCAACGCGTACGGACTATGCTAGTGCATAATGACGAATCTCTGACACTAACACGATTGCGTGACATGTGAGTAAAGCATGGTGAAACACGTTTATGCCGCCTTCGAGGTTAAGATGGGATATTTTATAACCAACCTCTCATGGAAACAATTAGTAGAAGTACATTGGAGTGGCTGCTGCATCGGAGAACTGAGCATGCATGGAAATGTCCAGTGTGTAGTGACATCGATTGTGATAACTTTGTATGTATGCTATACATGCTTGCGCTGCCGACTTTTACAGATAGCCGTTAAAGTGCCGCATATCTCAGAGTAGCCGTAGACAAGAAGTCTCCCGCGTGAAGCCATAGACATCTAAGGGTCACAGACTAAAAAAAGAGGAAGGTCTTTGATAACGCGTGCTGAAGACACAGTTAGACGTGTGTGTAGACCTGGTAATACTGGGCGAGGATTCAAAGTGTCTAAACAACAATCAGACTTGTGTAGAGTTATAATCACATTGTGCTGTGCGTGCTGGGACTGTCCAACGGGCGCTGCAGAACTAGAAATTCAACAAATGATTCATGACAATTCTTGCTGTTTGATGTTACTACCTGTGCAGCTGGCTTTTTGTTGAGAGGATTATGATATTCATGGGAGTCCACAACAAAAACGAATGGACGTCGCTTAGTGCAACAAAGCCTGGTATATGATAGAAACAACATCTAGTTTGAGAATGGAGGTGGAGGCGATCACTGCAGCCTTTCTCTGTGAACACATGTCGTAGTTGTAACAGACTCGCAGAGTATACTGAGAAAGATTGATGTTTGCAGAGTGGCAAGCATCGCTTTAGAAGTCCTGGGTAGTAAGCG